AAAGTATTACTTGGATCAGACGTTTACATACGTCTTTCAGAAGTACGATATTTTCTGCGTACTGTTATTCCTAAAATTATTCTGAAGGCTTTAGAATGCAGTAAAAGGACCCTGACAATGTGTTTGCTAAGAGTTTAATTATTTCAGATTATTTGCTTCTTTATTCCTTTAGATACGTGTGCTTACGTGGAAAAAGGCTGACTTGGGGAAACCAATGACGTAATTTTGAATGGGCAGTTAATGGATTAATTATAAACCGTACAGATTATCAAGATAAAGATTATTTTTTGGATATCATTTCTTATATGACAAGCCCATGGGATCACTAGTATTTATTAAACGTGTTCTTAACTTTGTATTTTTAAATTGATATTAAACGACAATGTGCGTTACTGATACATTTGTAAGTGTAATTCGTCAGTGTAAATGTGTAATTTGTTTTATTATATCAGAACGTATTTTGCTTGTTTACTTTCAATAAATTAATATTTTTTTTAAATAATCACTTGTTTTTTCGAATTTTTTATATGCTAGCGCCCCCTACGTAAAGTTGTCGTGCCTCTCAAGAGCGGTGCACCCCACAGTTTGAGAAACTCTGCTTTATGAGAATGGAACTTTAATGTGTATACGCTTCGTGTAGATTTAAAAGAGTAGCACTTAAGGTATCCGACTTCGTTCAGAACCGTGATTTTAAAAAAGCGCATAAATGGATAATTTTCATGATATTTAGTGTCACTTAGATTAGAATACATGTATAAAATGGTTTTAAGGACATTTTGAGAAAAAAGAAATTATTTAAATACAATATTTTGGCAAAAAATTAACTTAGAATAACACTTTTTTCAAAATGTTCTCCTTTTCAGAAAAATGCTTCTATTATAGTAATATTTTTCCTGTATACAGCTCAGATCTCTGTACAGAGGCTCAACTATGATTTTTGAAAAGTTCACATTATTTTTAGAGTTACAACCAATTGAAATAATTATCGGCGTTTTTTTCTTAAATTTTCTCCTCTCTGTTGTCATAAAACAAGGATAAACCCACTTCTAACTTATATGTTTCAAAATTCTAGTTGAGCCTCTGTACAGAGGTCTGAGCTATAGACAGGCAAAATATTATTATAATAGAAGCATTTTTCACAAAAGGAGATTATTTTGAAAATGGGTCATTCTATGTTCATTTTTGTCAAAATATTATACTTAAATAATTTTTTATTGTAATACTATTCTTAAAACAACTGTATATACATTTTCTAATCTAAGTGACACTTAATATCATGAATATTATCCATTTACACGCTTTTGCAAAATCATGTTTCCGAAAGCAGTCGGATACCTTAATACATATATTTTAACTCATGATGGCGCTTCTCAAATTCAATCCATAAATTTTCACTTCCGAAAAAGATTCTCAATTCCTCTTTTATCGAACTTTCGGAGAATCGTGCCACAAATATATATTTTCTACTGTACGCCTTTAATGGTCTATAGGATCATCAGAGTGATCTTTTGAGCTTAAAGTGGATCATGTTATTTTTATTTATTATTTTTTTTTAGCTTACTCTTGGGATCAGAATTTTAATGATGTTTCTCCTTTTGAATTAAAGTTTAATGTTTTAAGCAATATAATATTTTTAGGAGACAAAAAAAATTATAAATAAGCAATCAATTAACTTATTTTTAATGCTTATATAATACTAATTTTTTCAGCTATATTATTGCAATGGAAATTGATAAACTGATAGTTTTTATAAACGTTTCATTTCCGAGTAAACCTATTCCCATTGTGAATGAATATTATAATTTTAAGCCGAGGTATAATAAAGATGATATTCCATTTACTAAACTTCTACACCAACACAATGTTAAGCTTTAAAAAGATTTCACGTGCTTCAACCCTTCTATGCAGGGCTAGATACAAGGTGTGACAAACATACACCAAAAAAAAAAATCCCATCAATGGTCCAAGGTGTAATTGTACTTACGGAATAAGTTATCCGTTTGACGGTATCACCTTCAAATTAGTTCCCTTCAGCATTCACACACTTCTGCAATCGGTGCTTTTTGAAAATTCTTTAAAAAGTGTATACATTCTGTGTTCAATTACTTTTCAAAAAACAAGTTTTTCTTTGATTCAAAGATGCATACGAATGATGCATTCAAAGATGCAACGATGCATATGTACTATTAGCAATTGGTAAAATTAAATTCAAAGCATTAGACACAATAGAAAAAAAAGTATTAGCATTTTAAATGAAAACTAGTTATTTTATCTTTCTGAGATAAGTCAGTTTAAATTTTGGATTTGTCTTAGGAATATGAATAATAGCGAAAGTAAAATCTATCATAATTCATCATTTTTTTAAGTTTAGAGCATTCAAATTTTGTGAGGTTATAGAAATGTATATAAATAATAATTTATGCTAAAAAATTAGATTTGATTTTTTTTTACCGCTTTTTGTCATTTAAATCGTACTGTGTCCCTTTAAATAACATTTTAAAAAAGAAATAATGAGATAAGTGTAATGTTTTCTTTTTCTTTTTCAACGAAGTTATTTAAAGTATCCGAGTACTTGCGACATTTTTTAAAGTGGGAGGTTGTTAGATTTAAATATATTTAGTACCTAGATTTTAAGAAAAAAAGGCTAAAATTAAGATGAGAAGAAATTATTACTTCTAAAATGCGAAAAAAATTTGATAAAAATTTACAAAAAATTACATAAATGGAGCCCACTCTGTACAAAAACTTTATGAACAAGTTCTCAATTTTTCAAATTTGATTTATTACTTTGCTATTTTTTTTTCAATTGACCTTCAGGATAATAGATATTTTAAAATTTACGAAAACTACAGCACGTTATTATAGTAATTATATGAAATTACTTAACAAAACAGTAATTGTATTCACATAAGGGCTGAACATTTTGTAATAAAACAGTAATTGGTAAAATTGAAGGTTAAAACACTTCTACTGTAATACAAAACTTACACCAAAAATTTCTGCGAATTATTTTCAAAACTTTTTGAGCTATCGCTGTTCCCGTTTGATCCTTTCGAAAAAAAAAACACTTCGATTAAAAAGCATTTTAAAGTTTTGACATTTTGTTTAAAGTTTTGACATTTTGTTTAAAGTTTTGACATCTTATGTAAAGTCATGATATCTGCTTTTATTAAACTAGTTAAACTAGTGAATGGAAAATAAAAATTTTGGTATTTTTGTAAAGCTAACAAGATATGACCTTTAAAATAAAAATATAAAAACATCTGTTAATTTTTGAAAAACATCACGATTTTAGGGTAGTCGGAACTTCAAAGATGTCTTCGATATCCCCACATTTATTTGCAGAGAAAAACCAAATACATGTCGAAATTTGTTTTATTACAAAAAAAATCATTCTAAAGAAAAAATCTGAAAGAAAATTACAGTTTTAAATTATATCCCAAAATTTCTGACAGATCATATTTCGAGATTATAACTTCCGAAGGTCCTGTGAAATAAAGAATATTTTAGCTTTAAGGTCACTTACTTCGGTGAAACAATATTAGAAAACGAAAAGACTGAGTTTTTTTCTAAAAAAAATATTCAAATCTCATTAATTAGACCCTTACCAAAAAGCTACATAAATTCATAAAATATGTTCTATATATAATCTAAATCTATTTAAAATTTATTTTTTCACATAAAATCTATTTTTCTTTTACTCGGATTGTGTGTGTATATGTGCGTTTGCGTGTGTGTTTCAGTATGAATATACATAAATAATATGTCCCGTGAATAAAAACACACACATTTAAATCGAATTGTTCTTCAAAAAATAAGTAATTGAAGGAATTCAAAAATATTATATTATAGATTTTAAGTTTTTCACAAAATGAATTATATGTACATTTTACAAAAGAATACACATTGCTGCAACTATATCCATGTGTATACGAAGTGAAATATCAGTAATCTAATTTAAATCAAACCTAATTTAAATCAATCAATCTAATTTAATTTCTTAGAATTTCAGCGCATTTTAAAAACGCAGCTAGAAGCAATATCTTCTACAGCAGAGCTGTCAAACTCGTGGCCATTCCAGTATGTTGGCACATAACAACGTATAATAAAATATATAATTTTTCCCAAAATAAAAATGTAGTAGCAGAGAATAGATGCCAAAAGAGTGTCAGGACGTCGACTTAAATTGTTCTTATTCTTTTATATATGTTTATATTAATGTATTATTCAAAATAACCCTACGTTTCTAGGAATATTGATTTCTATGTGTGGCCTACCTAAAGGTAAACCTTTTTTGTTTGGCCCAAGTTAACCTTTGAGTTTCACACCCTTGATCCACATTGTATAAAATAAAGAAATGTACAAAAGGTTACTCGTTTTTAAATCGCATTCGGAGATAGGTTGTTTACCTAAAATACATAATGTGCCTCGAGTAAAGAGCATGCATATCTAAAGAATAAAACAGTAAAATAACTATTAAATATTTTAAAATATTTTTCTAATTAATAAATATGTATTTAACACATAATATTTCTCTAACTTTAGTAGTAGTTTATTCAGTGATAAATATTTTACAAGTAATATATTCCGTGCTTGAGTACGGAATTTGAGTATTATATCATTTATTGAATACAAATTAGTACTATAAAAACTAATTCAAATTTTCATTGAACTAATTCAATCAACTTTTAACATCAGAAAAACAATTAATACAAAAAAATAGTTTAAAGTCAATTCCTACTTAGGTCAACAAAGAAAATTTATTTTAGTTACTTTTATTAAATAGTTACAATTAATATAAATATGTCTATACACATGACAGAATCACACTATTAAGTGTCAAAGAAGGAATCAATTTTCCTTGCCATTTTCCCTTTTCCTTTCTATATAGGGTGTCGAACTGTTCTTTTGTTTGGTTGTTAATGTGTATTAATAAATTAAACTTAATTATTCTAGTAAAATAATATAGTAGAAATGAGTCACATTCTCAGAAATCAGACCATCCCAGTTGGGAAACGAACCCATGTCCCTTAGATTAGAAGTTCAACTTGCTATCCATTGCACTACAGGGACTCAATGAACGATTTTCCTTTCTATATATGCTGTTGGACTATTATTTTTGTTTGTTGCTATGTATTCATTTTTTAATTTAATTTATGAATTAATATTTGAAAAAACTGCATTAACATTTTCATACACTACAAGTTTAAGAAAATCAATAAATATAAATGGATGAAAATAAAGTATTTTCCTAACGATTGAAAATTTGAACAAGATATACGTATATATAAGTAAATAAATATAAGGAGAGAATGAACTAATAGTAGGAATTGAAAAAAAAATAACGATTGAAAATTTGAACAAGATATACGTATATATAAGTAAATAAATATAAGGAGAGAATGAACTAATAGTAGGAATTGAAAAAAAAATAACCTAAGTCTACAATTTAAACACACACAAAAAAATTTAATGGCTTGTACATGAGCTTTTTCAAATTTTGCAACCAGCATTGTAAAATGATCTTGCGATTTTTATTAAAATGTTAAAATACTTTTAGAATTTTTGATATCCTCGTACCAGGCACAGAAGTTTTATTCGAACTAAAGTTAAAAGAGGGTAGGACTCTGAAAAGCCAAAGAAAGAAAGGACTTTTCAAAAAGCGACATCTGTTTGGAATAGGTTTAAAATTGAATCTCACCGGACTTTCTTTTCTGCAACAGTCTTACAAAGCTCTGCAATCTAAGGAAGCGCAATAAAGTTAAACTATTTCAGAATTGCAAATGAGAAAGAGTAGAGAATTTTTGTTTTCAAGGAGATGGTGGATCTTCAAAATGTCAAATTTTGCTCAAAATTGCGAGTTTGATTTTTTTATACCAATGATATTTCTCATAATTCATTGAATAATTCAGTCAAATGATTTTGTCATTTTAATTTATGATTACTGAATTATTATTATTTTTTATTTTACTCCAATAAATGTTTAAAATGCACTTTTCTTAGTTTGTAAATTTTCCCTTTTCATTGTTATTTAAAATGCTCCTTGCGTTTCGAATTATGTCATATCGCTTTGAAATTTTCACAACTTATGAAAGATGATATAATTCACAAATGTGTGCATTAGTTTTCAAAAGAATTTAACGGATCACATTTTGTGTTGTTTCAAATACCTTGAATGTGTATAATTGGTAAAATATTTCATATAATATAGAAAACTTATCTTTTTTTAATCAAATTTTATTCTGTGAATTTAAAATCTATGAACATACATATTTTGTTGTAGCTCATTTATGTATAAAACAAAAATTGTGTACGTATGTTAAAAACTAATGCGCAATGAATATTTTTAAAAACAATTTAAAAAAAAAATAATGTTTTTAAAAAATAATCTTATAATAGTTTTTCTAAAAAAATGTATATTTAAATTATGAAATATAATAATCATTTATTACATTGATTCCCTTTTCAGATGATTAAGATAACAATTTAAGAAATTAGTTTTAATGGTTCACCGTCCCAATGGTTCATTTCCCTTTTCTCTTTATTCTTCGCAATAAAATTTTATTTTTTTAATGAACAAAATTAAAATAAGTAAAAATTGTTTCATATCGGTATGCTTTTCCCCTTTTTTAAAGAAAATTGCTCCTCTCCATTCATTTCACATTGTTTTTTTCTTTGAAGATAAATAAAAATGATGCTAACAAAATATAACTATAAATTATTATTTGTGTAATTGAATCCCCATACTTTAGGCTTGGAAATTTAAAAGTAAAATAATATTTCACAATCTAAAGGATATTTCAAAATGTTTTCTGTAAAATAAATTTGACAAAATATAAGAATCCTTCTGAGAAATTGATATTTTGTTTTTTACTGCCTTCTTTAGGAAAAAAAAATCATGGAACATGAAGAAAATTCAAGAGAGAAGAAAACTCATGGGACAACAATTAATTTACTCAAGTTGAAAGTTAAGAGAATGTTTGGGTCCCTCTAGAGCTATTGGATAGATTTTGATGGAATTTGATATGTATACGTAAGGATAATATAACGCCAGAAATTAACTATTCAACAGGTATAACACACACGTAAGATTGTGCGTAACACTCATTGGAGTTGGTCTGAAACAGCTGTTGCAGAACAAAACCGCCTCTTGGAGAAGTACATACATTGCACCATGATTTTATACTGAACATAAGGACATTTATAAGTTTGTGTGGCAGTTAATCCCGTTCGTTCAGCAGCTCTGTTTTAAAGCTTTAGATATTTTTTTGGAAAGGGGTTACGAGTTGCAGTTGCTCTTACCAGAGCCTTCCAAGCATGTTCACAAGGGATGAGGTCTGGAGATCTACTTGGTCAATAATTTTGGAGAATATCCTCACTTTCCATTAATTCGTGCAACAAAAAAGCTCTATAAATAAGCCCAGTTATAAATGGGCACAATGAGGCCTACCGTTGGTTTCCATTAAAATAAAATCTGGGTCAACTGTACACGTGAAATTCTACACAGAGGGATCCTCCCAGACCTCATCATTATACCACACAGTAGTCACAGTATCACTGTTCAAAGATATGGAGGGGTGTGTGCCAATCCAGCGTGATGCTTGCACAGACCATCAAGCCTCGGCTGCCGCAATGGTCAATTTCGCGGTCATTGGAGAGCAAGTAGCAGATTCCTGATCCTCTCCATATAAAAGTACGCCGAAAATGACTGGTTAATATGAACTGTGACTTGTCAGTTAAAAGAACGACCACACTTTGACCAATGCTTCAATCTCTATGATCTATGCACCATTTTAAGCGAACTATCTTGTTCGCAGTAAGAGCAGGACACAAACAACAGGTCTTCTCACAAACAACCCTCTCTCTTGCAGCATTCTGGAAGCTGTCACGCTTTAAAATTGGGCTCATTCCGTCATGCCTCGTTTTAATGGAAAATGCCGATTTTTCTGGTCGTTATCGTTCTTAAAAGATTTTGCCTTGGCACACAGTGGGCGGTTTTCACGTTCTGTCGCACGGAACCCCTCCCCTCCCAAATGAAAACTCTCATGAAAAGTTCTGATACTTTATTGAACAGTGTCACGTTCGTGTGTGGGCATTAGTACTGGTTCTCTGATAATTTCTAGAGAAAAACTTTCCGTTATTTTTACTCTCTTCTATCAAAAACTAATCGCTAAGGCGCACAGTTTTCCCGATCAGGTGCACGGAAATCCCAAAAATGAAATTGCTCGAAAAACAACAACTCCCAGTGTAGGGTCCTCTTTAGCCCCCTAAGCATATATTAATTAGTTTTCGTTATTACGGGAATGGAAATCTCCAACAGTTGACGGTTTAAATCGTGTTATTTGAATCTACAAGGAGCACCTGCTAGCCTCATTTTCCAGTCGGAAGTTCTACCGTTTCGACTGAAAAAGATTTTGCAGCTTTTGGCATTTTTCTTTGAAATTACATACCACGGGAAACAGTTTCCTTATTGGTCACTCAAATTAGGTTCACTGTTCATTCAAAATTATAAAAAAAAATAACATTTAGTACAGTACGTGACTCTCACAAATCCATGTCATTTTCTGTGTTTAATGAACTAAACCTTTGAGATTAACAAGGATTAATCGCAGTAATACTTAAGTTACATATAATAAGTAGACAGATAATTGAATACTAAATTTAGCTGCCATTTTGTATTATCCAAAGTTATGATTTTTTCATATGCATGGACGTTGGTATTGTTATAACCCTTGTTCAGACTGCATATTTTTCTCCGTAAGAGGGAGCACGAGTCCCCCCAGATGTATTTTTATAACTGCGCAGTCAGTATTAATAAAGCATTTTTCACACAGTATGGACAGCTAATTTTCCGTCGTATCAACGGAAAACTTTTACAAAGCAAGAAATTGAAAAAAATAAAAAAAAGCCAAATATCTCTTCTCCAAACCAGCACAGTAACGCTAGATGACAATGTTTACAGCTGCAGTTTATTTTTATCATTGACAATGACAGATGGAAAAATGTGTAACTCACTGGATAATTCCTTTCCTGATAACTCTTACTTTTGTCATTCAAAGCCTAGCTCTATGAATGACCTGGATTTTATGAAAACTAGGTAAATAGTTATGGGTAATGTGGAACGGGGCATATCCGTCTTGCACCCCTAGATCAAATGTTTTGAGTACCTTCTGCACATATCTTATAGGGTGATTTAAAAAATGGTCCTTGAGGAAAACAAATAGACAAGTAGTGGTTGCTAATAAAAAGGAAGCGCAGGAAAAATTTCGTCACCAAATGGGGCTTTTGGTGGATGCTCCAAAACCTGGCTTTCGAACCACAAAATGATAACAATACTACTAGAGAATTCTCCCAGAACCCAGTAATGGCCTCATCAATCACAGGGGTTCATGGAATCCTGACAAAAAAATTTCATATGGTGCTGACCACCATAGCTTGTGTGCATGAACGTAACTCACAGAAGTGTAACACTTTATCTACCGCATTACGATTTACTGCAGTTTCTTTTATGCAATATTTTTTTTGAATCACTACTTTAATAATTAAACAAAATACTAAGCTTTGGGAAATTTAATTTGTTAGAGCTAATTAATTAGTTAACGATGTTCACCTGTAAAATTAATTATGCACACTGTTCACTTAAAATAAAGAGACAAATCGTCACCTAAAGTCATCATCAACATACAAAAAAATAAGACACCTTTTAACATTAACTATTTTTTTGGAACAAAAATGACAATTTTCCCAATCTGCTGAAAACGCCATCAGCTGAAAACGTAATTTCTGACATAAAACTATTCGCCTTCCCCGCTAAAATACTAACCGTAGAACCCGTGCTGCCATATATCTTGGAAGACTGGAATACAGAAATTTGTAGACACCCAAATAACCTTATTTTTTGGTAGAAAACATAAAATAATACCGATTTACATTAATAAATATGAGTAGTTTTGCTAGCCCACACGTATACGGTTACGTATTCAATACATAAGGTATGCATTTTTGTTTCGCAGCAGTATTTTAACATTTGGTTCAAATTTTTTCATGAAGTTCGGCAAAATATGCACTTGGTC